GCCCATGCTGATGTGTGACTGGTTCCCACAAGCATTGCTTTAGCTAATAGTCTTGCTTCTCCAATTAGATCCCAACTCAATGTCATGTTGCAGAATTTGGGCTTTAGGTGCCTGGACTACTGCTGCATTGTGACGCTCCCTTCTTCCTTCCCGTAGATCCAATATCAGGCCGGACCACGCAGACGCCAATTCCCATGACTTCAAAATGCACACCTTCACTCGGGTCACAGCCTGCAAGGTCTGCCAGATGCTGCTGAGGTCAGTTTGCGGGGTCGTACTTTTCATTGTAAAGGACTGGTCTCACGGCTCGCCTTTTCAGACTTTATGTTCAAATATCCCTGCCGAAGTGCTTTGCGGTGGGTGGACCTTGCTATAACAGTCGGGATCTAATAGATCTTTCTTGACCCTTGACACTGCACTATCGCTTTAGGATCTCCAGCAAGGTTCTCTCCTTCCGCGGCAGCGCACTTGGCGTGAAGGATCCCATGTAGGCTGGGTCTGCCTTCTTGGTAGTATGCCACCCTCTCATTTTGCCTTTCAGAGGGACGTTTTACCAAGGCTATTTATGCTTCAAGTGTGGCGCGAGGGCACACAAAGAATGTTTGGGAAGAGTCGACAATTGTGGCAGACTTAATTCCGGTGGTAAGTCATGTTTATTATTGTGATCCTGCTTTTAATTAGGATATAAAGCTTGCTAACCATCATTCAGGCCTAATTTAGTCTTAATTTACGTGTGCGCTAAGATACCTGCTTTTGAAGCTCTCTTTTATAAGCACAATGAGAAATGTGTTTAAACGTCCAGGTGGCTTTGTGTGAAAAGTGTTTGGAACTTTCCTCCGTACCTCTGAGGCAGAGGGCTTCCAGAGGGGCTTGGACTGATTTGTGTCACTCATTTCTGTCGCCTTACTGTCTAAAATCTGTCACCGAAGCTGTATAAATATAGCCAAAATAGAGGGCCAAAATCAAAAAGACCAGCCCCTTCCCCCCATTCTTTATTTCTGTCCTTGGTTCCTAAATGTCTCTCTTATTCTCTTAAATATTCAGCTTAGAAATGCTAATGACGCCAGACCCAAACGTTTTGCAGGTGAATTCCTGAATTAATGAATCGAATACATTGTCATTTTCCAGCATTTAACAGAGCCTAGATACCATGGATTTTATGTAAATATTTTCCCCCTTGGTTTTCAAAAATAGCTTTCCATGATTTTGCCAGGAGCCCATTTCCCAGGCTGTTGGCAATTATGCATCCCTACCCTTTTGCCGCTCTGTGCTCCTCCTGGGCTCTCGCCCTTCTCTTTCTTTTCTGGCCGCTTTCTTCTTTCTCTTTCTTCTTCCTTCTCTTTGTCCTTTCCCCCTGAGTCTCTCTGAGTTTTATCAATAAGACCTTTCAAAATCAGCAAAACTTTTTGAAAACAAGAAAGGGATCCTTAACAGCTTGAGTTCAAAAGGCGGCCATGTCAACCTTTGATTTTCCCAAAGGAAAAGATGGACATTGAGTTATTTTGGATAATGTGCAGAAGAGTGAGACAGAGAATAATGGATCACTTCAGAGCTATATTCAGAAATGGGCAATTGTAGAAAAGGTGTGAATCATATTAGAGCACTGAGATCACAGTACATTACTCGCCTGGTTCCGCAGTAGACATTTTAAAGGGCCCATCATATGCTGTTCTCTGGGCTAGCCCTGGGCAGCTGCAGAGAAAGAGCCCGGCATTAGTTGAGCACCTGCCCTGTACCTACCATGCCTGGGACTTCTGCGGTACCTCACCTGTGAGTTCATGCATGCCTCAGAATAGCCCTTCAGAGAACTTTTACACCTGGTGCTAAGTCTACTAAGTCAAAGAAACAAGATGAACACCTATATCAGCCTGAAGGTTAGGAACAGTTGACACGGTTTTAAGATGTTAGGTTGTTGTTAGGGCCATTGAGTCAGTTCCAACTCATAGCAGCAAACTTACGCACGACAGAGCAAAACACTGCCCAGTCCTATCCTAGCCTTGCAATCGTTCTTATGCTTGAGCCCATTGTTGTAACCACAGTGTCAATTCACTTCCTTATGGACCTTCCTCTTTTTCCCTGCCTTTCTGGTTTACTGAGCATCATGCCCTTCTTCAGGGACTGGTCTCTCATGACAATATGTCTAAAGTATGTAGCTGAAGTATCGCCATCCTTGCCTCTAAGAAGCACTCTCGCTGTACTTCTTCCAAGACAGATTGGTGTATTCTTTTAGCAGTCCTTGGTATTTTCAATATTCTTCTCTAGTATAATAATTCGATTCATTGATTCTTCTTCACTTTTCCTTATTCAGTGTCCAGCTTTCATATACAGTGAACTCTCATTTATCGCGGTTAATCGGTTCTAGACCCTACCGTGATAGATGAAACTCCGCGAAGTAGGATTCCTTATTTGTAAATCAAATATTTTCGTAGTTAGAGCATAGAGGACATGAAAAAACACCCTTTAGTTACCATTACACTCATACTACCCAATTTATTAAACGAAAAAGGGAAAATACAGTAAAACATTTTGGATGTTACAATGATCATTTATTACTTATTATATTATTTATGGCATCAAGTGTGTACAGTATGAGCCAATCAGTGGCAGTAATGACAGAGCATGCGCTGTTACGCAAAAACCGCGATAGAGTGAAGCCGCGGAAGTCGAAGCGCGAAGTGGCGAGGGTTCACTGTATATGGCAATGGAAAATACCATGGCTTAGATCGGGTACATACCTTAATCCTCAAAGTAACATCCTTGCTCTTCAGTACTCTAAAGAGGTCTTGCGCAGGAGATTTACCTAATGCAACTTGTTTTTTGATCTCTTGACTGCTGCTTTCATGAGCATTGACTGTGGATCCAAGCAAGACAAAATCCTGGACAACTTCAACCTTTTGTGCACTGACCATGATGTTGCCTATTGGTCCAGTTGTGATGATTATGGTCTTCTTTACGTCAAGTCATAACCCATACTGACGGCTGGAATCATTGATCTTCATCAGCAATTGCTTCAGGTTCTCCTCACTTTCAATAAGCAAGGTTGATAAGATATTATAGAAATATTATACATTGTTTTTTTCCATTATTTACAGACAATTTGTCACTGAGGTTTTCTTTCATCTTTATGTCTCTATCTTGAATAGTATTAAGAGCCGTTAATGTGTTATTTGCTCTTGGTCTGCTGATGTGTTTTCCCACCTCTCATGGCGCTGTCTTGCTCTAGGATTTCCAGTCTGTGAGGGATGTAGAGTGACCCCACAGATGGCATGGTTGCTAGGTTTTGAAGGGATTCTAAGGAGTAAAGCCGAGCTGGTGGAAATCCTGGCTTTGTTACTTACCATTTACATGAGCTTGGCAAATGTTCCTGAATGTTCAGAGCTTCCATTTGTCAGAATACCTCTCCTGTACAGCCATTACCCATCGATGAGTAGAGGCTTGCATGTTGTTAGGATACTAAACTGGTTTTAGTAGAGCTTGCATGCTGTGGAATAAAGGCCTAGTGATCTGCTTCCAGAAACCAGTCAGTCATACCACCCTACTGATCACAGTGGTTCAGGCCACAAGCAACCACGGCACCTGTTGTTTTAGTTTGCACATGGGGTTGCCCAACTAATAACAACAAAATTGGAAGTAGAAGATGCTTGTGAAGATCCAATGAGATGGTGTTAAGTGATCACCATAGTAACTGAGTGCAATAAGAGGTCATTATTTTAGTCCAAGGTATTATAATGAAAAGCAGTATTCTTAAATAGATGGCTTATTCTGCACTTTGGGGGTTGGCTGTCTGATTCGGTTGGCAAATGTGGATAGAAAGATTAGTGAGCATCAAACTTTGAAGTAATACACTAGTGTGATAACTAAAAGGACATTTTTAACTTTTATACTAAAAATTTCAAGAGGGAACAGATGGAAGTTTCTGTCTAGCCAGCTAAAAGAGTGGCATGTTTCCAGTGCGGGTCCCCAGGTCATCATTTCCACTGAAGCTGCCCTGAGATGAGTTGCTCTGTGGCAGGAGTGGGGAGCCTCTTTCCTACCAAAGGCCCTTTGGAGATTTTTAACTTCACTTGCTGGCCATACTGGTCAAGCATTTGATCCACTCACTCCTAATGTAATGGCTGGAACTTCTTTTCTTTGGGGATGCATCTGATCTTAGCTGGTATCGATGATTTTGCAGGCTTTATATGGCCTGAATGCCAGATATTTCCCACCTCTGGTGTAGGGAGACAGCCAACATGGACACTGAATCCTGAGAGCTCTGGATGCCTGTCCAGATTTAATCCATGCCCCAGGCTGATTCTCTGGGTGACTTTGCCCCCTCGATACTTAACCTTTGTGGATCAGTCTTCCTTACAAAGCCCTTTTCTATGTATAAAGTGAATTCCTGGCCTATTTTTCACTGTGGCAAATGTTTAGGTAACAGACTATTTGGATTTTTAACACTCTTCACATAGACAATTTATTGACATTAGTTATGCCTATCGTGTGGTTAGACATTACTATCATTCATTTTCAAATTCTCCCACTACCTTCTAACAGAAGCTCAATGTTTTCTGAATGATTAGCCCCCTAGTCCTCCCTCATACCTATCAATGGTAGCCACTAGTAAACCTTGACCTCTGTATATTTCCCTATTCTAAATATTGTATGAAAGTGTATCCATAAAGTATCACTCTCCTTGTATATCATTTTCCTCAGCATGAAGTTAGGAAGCTTCAGCCATGCTATACCATGGATCAGAGCGTCATTTCTCAGAAAGGCTGGGGAATGGTCCATTGTATGCATGCACCACCTTTTATTTCTCCTTCCTGATATTGACAGACATGGCGGTGGTTTCTGCTTTGGGATGGTTGTGAAGTGTCCCCATGAACATGGCTGTAAGTGTATGGTTTTGCACTCCTACTTTCAATTTTGGGGGAGTATATGAGGGGGTGCCAAACATTTTTAACAATGGATTTTTTTTCAAAGCTATGTATTTAATTTGTTTACAAACCAACCGTATCCCCTTCAAAGTACTCTCCATTACACCTAATACATTTGTCAAATCTGTGATTTGATTCTTGGAAACATTTTTCATACTCATATGTTTGAATGACTGACAGTACCGCCCTCATTTTTTTTCGTCACCTCTTCCATGTTGCCAGATCACTGTCCTTTCATGTCCCTCTTTGTTCACGGAATTAAAAAGAAGTCGCAGGGAGTGAGGTCAAGAGAGGCATGCTGTTTTTTGCCAAACACTGGTGCACTGGGGTGACTGTGTGAGCAGGTGTGTTGTCATGGTGGCGAAACCAGTTCCCCGTTTGCCACAAAGCCGGCCTCTTTTGTCGCACCCTGACCTGGTGGAACAAATTCCAAATGCACTATCCCCCAAAGACAAAACTAAATGAGCATTGCTTTGATCTTTGATTTCACTTGCAGACTTTTTGTGGGAAAGGTGACGATGGCGTCTTCCACTAGCTTGATTGATGTTTGGTTTCAGGGCTGTAAGAAAAGCACCATGTCTCAGGACCAGTAATGACCTTGAAAAAAAGAGTCTGGGTTCCTTCGGAGCTGTTCTTTCAAAGCACGCATGTTTCCATCCCACGCTCTTTTTGCCGGTCCGTCTGAACCTGAGGCACACATTTTGCAGCCACCATTCTCATTCC